AAAACATGTCACAACTTTGCACACAAAATTATTATTGTATTATATACATATTTGACACAAGAGATAGGAAAATGAGAGTTGGAATGCACGTTTTTAATATGGTAATTTTTTAATTCATGTATATAGTTAGCATAATATTTTGTAAATAACTGATAACAGAAAAAAAAGAAAGTTATATTTAATATATATTTCCCACAGAAAACCTTTAACATATTATCTAAAAACTGTTCATTCAATGTTATCGAACAGAGGTAACATTATTTTCCTACACTAACTTGTTTCAACTAGATTTCTAATCTTCTCTTATAATTGTCGTTTCTAATTATTTCACGAAAACAATAATGACGTGCGTGCGATGACAGAACACGCACTGTATTTATTTGCGTCTGATAATTGCGTGGACGAATTATCTCCAGCATGCCGCTCACACAAATTTCAACACAACAACATCAATTGCTCAAAAAAAAGTCATATAGATAATGAAATGGTATTATCGGATGATTGTTCACCCTCTTACGACAGTAGTGTATGTAATACGAATTTATTTAATTTATAAGCACTATTCTTTATATACGCAGACTTATTTTCTTTTATTGATTTTATAAATTTGAAATATGTTTTTTATCGAAAATTTGATGCAACCAGATGCAACATATTTTTAAAATAATTAATATTGAAATAATAATGTTTTTATTGAATATATATACATATTTATATGAATAATAACTTGTTTATCTTTGTCTAATATTGCAGAATAAATTTAATAAAAATGTAAGAATAGCTCAAATGTCATAAATTTCGTAAATTTGTGGTGCAACAATGTAAGCGCACGCGATAAACTGATAAGATACTTCAATGAAACATTACGCTAAAATACAGTAGTCCAAAATTGTTATCTTTATAATGGAAGATTCCTTTGCGAATAGAGATCAGACACAGAATCAGCACACAGAATTTTAATTAAGTACTGATAGTAGAAATAATAGTTTAACTATTTGCAATCTTTTTATTATACAAATTAATTATTTATTAATAATCATGAATTCAAAACATATAAATGAAATTCGAAAAATAGAAGTTTATTATGTGATATGTAATTGTATTGTGAGTTATAATCTTTTCATTAATTATTTTTGTTTAAAATAAATTTGTATAATTTGCTGTTGCATTATATATATGTATTACTTCATCACAGATATTATTAATTAAAAAATAGCATTCTATAATTGTATGTTTAATTATTATATATGTTGGTTCTATAATAAAACTTGTATACTATTTGTGATACAATAGAATTACATATCTAAACGGTAATCTTAATGTTAAATATTTTTATATTTTTAAGTAATCTACATTAAAATGAGTTCACTCTTTTGCTGATTTGTTATTACATATTATCGCATACTGTTAATCTGCAAACATTAAATATTTTAAACTATATCTTATTAAGTAAAAAAAACATAATTGTTTAAGTATAAAAAATAACTATTAGATTTTAGAAATTGAATTCTGAAGAACGGCCTGACAGACTATTATGAAATCGTTTATGCGTTTTAAACATAAATTGACTCTTATCAAATGTGATAAAAGATTTCAATGGCCCAATGTTTCTTCTACTTTTATCTCCCAGTTGTAAAAAGGAAAGTAGAAAAACATCGGGACCTAAATATTTATTTTGACGAGATTTTTATACGCCCACTTATAATATAAAAAAATATTTATATTGTATTTTGACTCTTCAATGTATTGCGAATGCACACAACTACATTATGCCTTGCGATAATGGCACTACAATTTTATATCGGAATTATATAGCTTTCACATAAATTACATTGATGAATCGCGATACTTTATATTTTGCGCGATAAATGTAATTAACTTGAAGGGTAATAACACCAAATTAAGTTTACAATTTATATGATTTACGAATACATATTCGATACTGCATAAGTATTGCAATGCAGATAATTACATGTGTATCTTTTTTTCAGAGTACATCTTTTTCTGTTACATACTGACTGAAATCGGAAAGAGCATTCTCGGTTGATGAAATGTTCCGTCTTTTTGCAATCAAGCAACTGGGTATTATCAGTAACTGGAATATATCGAACATAAATATTAAAATTCATATACGATCACATGTTCACATGGCACTTGGTAAGAATTCAAATTTGCATGTTATTTATATTGTATACATATTTTAAATAGACTGAGTGATTGAAAGAAAGTGACATTAAGTGAACCAAGATATAAATAATTAAAGAACTTTTACAAATATAGACTCATGCTCGACGCATGTTGTACGATTAACGATAAAAGCGACTATCATAATCTCATGTCTATCTTTATATTATGCAAAAATTAATCTTAGAGTCAACAGATTAAAATCCGAAGTCACATCACGATTGCAAAATTTATCATTTCTAAAGATGTTCCATTCAAGACGTCGATTAATCGTACAAAGGCACAACAGCATACAAATACACATACAATCTTTTCATATGATGCAATATCTTACTTCCACTTCCTCACATTTCTGTCTAAAAAGTTGAGAAGAACCGGAAAAACATGTATTATACAAAAAATGCAGTTAGTTACGGCGATGCCTTTTAGTCGGAATTGCTTTAGATAAGTACGAGGAAATCAATAACAAGAAAATATTTTACCTTTTACATTCCTTTAGTCTTAACCAATTTTATCGTGTTCAACCAGCGATTTCAGTGACCAGAAATGTTACGGTAATGTTACGATTAAGGAAAAATTATCGTTTCGACCTGTCGCAATGTGTACGACAAAACATATAACTATCCATTTATCTCGAAACTTGTCGCGACATACTTTTTTGCGCGCGCTACTTAACTGCCTCTAATTATATATACGCAAACACAAAATACGAATGAGATTCTGAAAAAATAATTTTAATATCGTTCAATACGACGTTTTTTAACACATTCACTTTTGCCTGTTTATTTTAGCTCTTTACAGTTTATTTTAGCTCTTTCTATAATTCATACACTATATCTTTTTCTTGAGTGTATCAATTATACATATTCTGTTCTTACATTTAATCAGGAAGTTTTTTTATTAAATTGATTGTATGTGTGTATAAATGTAGATACATAAGATTATTCATAAATCATGTGTCTAATGAATAGTAAACTTGTTAAGGAAACGTGCAATCAATATAGAATATAAAAAAATTTTTTAAATTATTATTAAAAATGACAAGACTCAACTAATAATCAAATTATAAAATAATAGGAGCAAAAAGAGTTAGACTGCTAGATTTCAATGCGAACTTGTATTGTGTTATTAAAACCGTTAATATACATAGTATATAAGTTTCAAACTGTCATCAGGCTATTCTCAATATCATATAAATAAATTAAATATGAAAACGCACGCTGACAATAAGAATCTTTTACAATAAGATGTTTCACATCAAATATAATTTATACGCAAAATCTGTTGCAGGATTAATGAAAATTGTTAAGGTATTAAAAATGATACAGTACACAATAATGTTCGTCGATTTGTCAAAAAAGAAATGGAAGAGAACGAAAAGATAATTAACAATCTGATTCTTAAACCAGTAACTATCTTTATTAGATATATAATTTCTTGATAATATAATGTTTATAAATACAATATTTATTTTTCTTTTGTATTAATTTACGATAATCTTGAAACTTCTCTCAAAATTTTGATTTCAATAATGTGTACACAGATTTTATCACAGATTCCCGCGGGGCATTGGTGCTGACTGTAAACTTGCCACGATTTCATCAGAAGGAGACACGCTGTAACCTGTGTAAAAAAAAACATGTGTTCCATAAACTGGTAGCGGGGAGATCGGACAGTAAGAGTAATGCAATATGTGGACTTGCTTTCGTTTGGACAGTCTTAGTCCAGTCTTTGGCCGAGCCAGGTCAAAGAACCATTCGCTTCCGATAATTACTGTGTTGAGTGCAATCTTTCGTGGTTTTTCTCGTTTTCACACTTCAATATATCAGATCGAGCACGATTTTGCTGGCAGAACGTGTTGACACGTTTATCACGTTTTTATATCAACGGTTTTATCAAATTTAGTGATATAATATTGCAAAATTGTGCTTAATTAATTGCTGATTACTACAGTATAGATTTCTAATTGAGAAATTTTTCTTAATTTAAAAGAAAAGAGGAAACGACGCGCGGTAAAGCGTACGTAATATTTTCGTCTATATTCTTAAGTATATTTCTTTTTTATTTTTGTAGAAGTATATTTTTTATTTTGTGCTTTGATATATTTATTAATTTTTTTTTTTTTTTACTGAATTAAGCAGTCAAAAATTTTTTGTAAAAATAATATGACTTCCTCTGAAACAGGATTTATTGAGAAACTATTGAAAACTATGCCAAGTAGTAAGACAAGAATCGCTATCGTGGGTGGTGGGGTAGCTGGTTTGGTGGTAGCCCGTCATGTAGTATCCAAATTAGATACTTACAGTTTCACTCTGTTTGAGCAAACTGATACGATTGGCGGCACATGGATCTATACCGATGAAACACATTTTGACAAGTATGGGCTTTTGATTCATAGCAGCATGTACAAGAATCTGAAGTGAGTATATTATTTCTAAGTATATGGTTTATCACTCTCTGACTTCTCCAAAAGTGAACATTATTTTACTATTGTGAATCAACGAAAACTTTCTGAAAATTTTTAATCATGATATTGATTATGAAAATTAACTTACTAATAATTGGCATCCTCATCCTTAACATCATACAACTCAAAATTTAAAAAATGGCGTGCGAATATCAACACATAAGCGATGATAAATGAAATTTGTTATATTAGTCCGATTAGCGTTTTCGCAAATTTTAATCTATGTATTAAACGGAATTCTAAAGAAGATCGAATTTAGGTTGAACCGTCAATGTTATTGAAATTGTTTTTATAGTACACACACGCGAACGCCTAGCTTTGACCGTTTTGCTTCTTATTTATTCCTTTGATTTTGATTTTATATTGGCCTTTGAATAATTTTATTTTAAAATATAATTAGAGAGATTTTATCATATAAAATAAAACTGATACTTTTTCATCAGGCTGCTCGAATTGCTTTTCAATGATTATTCATAACTCTTTTATAATAAAAATACAATGCAATTATGACATAGAACAAATTATATATTTTTAAATGGGAAACAGGAAAATTAAACGATTTCATAGTAAACGAAAACAACAGAATTTCACCAAATTTTGCATATTCGTACTTTATACATTTATACTTGACTGGCCTATATATTCCGATAAATAAAATGACGAGAAGAAACTTTAGAAAGAAAATGCTTTTTTTCCTTCGGTGCTCCATTATAGAGACAATAAAAATTTTCATTCATCCAATCACGAGAAATAAACATGGTAATCGAGTTTTTCACGCGTATGTGTGCGTATGGACTTCTACCCACGAGACACCCGGTCTAATAAGATAAACTTTGTTTAATACGCGATACACTTTGTGACATTTTAACGAGATTGTTAAGTATTTGATGACTAGTACCGGAAAACGGACGAACACGTCGACGATAATCTGATAAATACAGTAGAATACTGATCAGCAATGCAAATTAAATGGCCATTGGGCGATAAGACGACCGATTCAAGAATTCTTACGGATATAACGGCATTTTTGCGCGGAATTGGCCGGAATACGAATACACATATTAATTTAATTCCTTATTTGCAAATTTTGCAACATAAATTTCCTTCCTTATTATACTCGCGCAAATTCTATAAATTTTCAATAGTCTTTATTTTAGTTTCAAAAATAGCAGCAACAAAACTAAAGTAAATAAAAACTGATTAAATTAAAATTAAAACTATACTTAAAAAAAAATATTTTTTAAAAATTTTTGTCGCCTTACATAAATCATATTTTGTAATCACAATATAAAGACAAAAATCTTTATTTTTTATATTATTCGCTTCTTCAAAAACGGTAAAATAACTCGCAACTTCGTTTCATTTCGTCATCATTTGACGATAAATCAATAGGTCGTCATATCTTTTGAACTCCGAAACATCAGTAAAAATTATGTGCGTGATCACCTCAATTGTGTGAGAATCATCTAAGAAAATATGATTTCTCTTTGTGTGTTTCAGAACGAATATACCGAAGGAAGTAATGCAAATTCCCGATTTTCCTTTTCGAAATCAAGGAGGTCCGTCTTTCGTTCATCACAGCGTAATAAGGCAATACCTTTTGGATTATGCAAGACACTTCAATCTTTATCCGTACGTTAAAGTAAGTTCTTTTGAATTGCATAAGTCATGGAACTCAAAATCGAATTATATTATTTACTTTCGTCTTGCTTTATTAAACACACGATGTGTAAAAATAAGAAGCGTTTCTTTACCAATCTAAAAGTAAAAACTTGCACCACGGCGAAATATTGCTCGCTCTTGACTTTGGATTGTGCTCGTTTTTAGCTGCGCACCGTGGTGAAGCATGTAGAGCCCGAAACTTTGAAAAATGGCCAAACGTTGTGGACGCTGACGTACGAGGATCTGGAATCTAAAGTAGAGACCACGAAAACTTTTGATGCCGTGGTACTGTGCAATGGTCATTACACTGTCGGTCATGTTCCACATATTCCAGGTATCGAAAATTTCCCCGGCGGATGCATTCACAGCCATCAATACAGAGTGCCGGAAGTCTACGCCGGCAAGAAGGTTTGCATACTCGGCGCGTCCTGGTCCGGCATCGATATCGCCATCGAGGTCTCGCAATACGCTGACAAGGTACGCTGGCAAAACCCTATGCTATTAATTGTCTACAAACATAAAATTACAGTTCTATTTATCAACAATTAAGTTTTTAACTTCTAAATTTTTTATAATATTATATTTATAATGAAATAATTAAATCCAATAATTTCTAATTAATTTCTAATTTAAAATTTTTCTATAGTAATATATGGAATGTCAGTTTT